TCAGAAAATATTGGTCATATGGCTGCTTTCTAAGATAACAAACAGCCAGAGGAGCAGTGTGGTTGAGCTTGCCTTGCCTGGGTTGGTTGGGAAGGAGCTGTCTGAATCGCTGATCACTCTGTTGTACCTGAATGCACAGGTGGAAATATTCCCAGAGATGTCCTTTTAGTGTTTGCCTTCACTTCCTTCCACCTTTCAGAAGAGGCAGTATTGCACAGAATGGGAGCAGAGCAGACATACGGTTCTGAGTTCCCACTACTGGTTGTAGCTTCTGTTATTGGGACTGCCCAGTGAAGTGACCATACTGAACTATTGCACAATGGCCAAGTTTCCCTGGTATAGCCAGTACTTTCACATTTTAAAATCCTCATTTAAAAAACAACAACAACAACAACAACAAAACAAACAAAAAACAACGGCAACACAAACTTCTTCAGCTCCATTTATTGGAAGGAAAAAAAAAATGTTCTGCTTTCTTACCATTCTTTTGGCTTAGGATTTTTAATTTTTTATTTTTTTTAAGTCTTATCTATTAACTTTTCTTTGGTAGAAAACCATGCACAACAAACAGTTGGCTCCCCCTCTTCCCAGAAAGGACCAGGGGTTTAAGTACTCACATTGTTGCAGCAAAATGTTCATAGAGTATCGAGGACTCTTGATTTTACTGTATTATGGATCTCTTCAAAGGAGGACGGATCGGAAAACAAACACTGGAAGCAAAGATGGATAAGATCACGGAAATAGAGCCCACACCCGCACATACCTCTGCCTGCCCTTTCTGAGCCCGCAATCCTGTGAGCTTTGTCAAATGAAAGGCAGAATTCACAATGGGGTGTGTGTGTGTGTGGGGGGGGTGTTTTCACTATATATTGTTTGCATGCAAAGCGTCTCAGGAGTTCTAAGACAAGGTATTCTTTTTCACAAAATGAAAATGTCTAAAATGTGATAGCCAAGTTCGTAGATGTAAGAGAACCAGCCACGAAGGAGAGAAGGAAATTAGCACCCTAGTCACGCACCACAGCAGTTTATTCCGGAGTTCATTCTGAGGAGGTAATGACTAGGAAAATGACAAAGAAAACTGTTACTGACCATTAGTGAGCAATCACTCTGTCATATTACTGAGATAATTTAGATGAATGCGGGGTTTCGCTGTCTCCCTGGGAGACAGGCTGCTGACGTCTTAGATAATGGCAGCCTACTTAAAGGCTGCTTTTGACAAATGTGCTTTTTTATCACGCAGATGTAAAATAGTTATGTCTATGCCCGCCTGTTACACATAGTAATAACTCTTTTTAAAAGTCTTTTTTTCCCCCCCAAAAAAAGTCTGTTGAGTCCCTGTGTTTGGGTCCCAGGGACACATGCTGAAATGCCCCTGCAAAGGCTTTTCAGGCGCTATGAAAAGCAGTGTTTGGAAACATAAGGTATTTAATAAATGATTGCAAAGTGAACCATATTTTTGTTCAATTGACTTCTATTATTTTAGCAGCTGCTAATTATACACTGTTGATATGTGGAGGCCGGTAACAGATTTCTCTGTTCCATCTGGGTAATCCGGCTTTTTGAAAATGGACTTTTCCCCCTCACATTAGTAAGATTTTGGCTCACATGTTGAGGGCAATGATCAAATCAAGTCAAAAGGAGTTGGCGGACAGCAGTTATCTAGAAAGAAGGCGAAATTCACATACTGGTGTTTGCAAGACATTTTATCTTTGACATTATAGGGCCCGTTCTGAGGCCGACTGTGTCATTTCATGCCAAGAGAAAAACAAGAGCTACGATGCTCATTTTCAGAGTAGATAATGTACATGTATTAAATATAATAAAATATTCTGAGAATATTTCCCTTTTCCTTCTTCTTCTTCTTTTTTTTTTTTTTTTAATTGCCAGAGGGCACTTGTATTTGCCAGAGAGAGAAACAGGAGAGGGAAAAAGCAATCCCCACTGAGACATGGTCATGCTGCAACCCCTTCTCCATCTTTTCACCTTGTCAGGATTTGGGCATGCACATACATGTGCCCAGGGTTTTGTTTTGTTTTGTTTTGTTTTTCAAGCTGCTAAAGCCAGGATTTGAACAGCAGTCAGCGATGAGATCTTGGCTCCCTTAACAACAAGGTTACAGGGCTGGCCCAATTCTGAGAATATTTTGCCTTGAACAAATACTGGGCAAAAATGGCCATGGCGTAGATCCTATTTATCACGCAGTTACAGGACTTGTATTGGGCATGGAATCCAGCATTTGTCATCCGGTGGAGTAGGGCATAGCGGAGCAGTTGAGTGTTTCAGTCTTGACGCCAGATTGCAGGGTCGATGCTAGCTACTGCAATGCATTAGCTGCGCAAATGAGAAAGTTCCTCTGATATTTTTTAGAATTGGATTTTCTCATATGGAAAAAAAATGAAAATAACATCTAATTTTTGAGATTGTTGCAAGAACAGTGCAAGATAATAAATAGAAAAGCTGTGATGATAATTATAATGAAAACAATCGTTTAAAAGATACCAGCTCAGAGCCAGCAGGTGGCGAGGTGGTTAAGGAAATGGATCTCAGATGACTGACTCTGCCATTGAGTTTGGAATCTGAAGGCTTAAAAAACAGGCCGGGCACATGTGCCCGCATGCCCAAAGTCCCAAGAGGAAAAAGGAGGAAAAGGGATTGTGGCATTGCCATCCTCCCTAGTGGGTGATTTCTCACTTTCTCTTTCTCTTTGTCTCTCTGTGGCAAGGGCATGCACCCTAAAACAAATACTTCTTTAAAAAATCAAGGTCTATTTGAAGTACCCAAACATAGTTTATCTATGGTGTGATGTGTGATGCCTTTGGGCACAATAGGAAGGCTCCCCCTTACTTGCTGCCCTAATAAACAGGAAGATAAGGAACCACATGGAAATTCTAATTATGAGCTGGCCAGGTGTCATGGTGGTAAAAGCATCTGGATCCCATCTGGCCAACAGCATGGTTTAAGTCCTGGACCCGGAGGCTTGAGAAACACACCAGGTGTATATGAGTACATGCCCAAAATCCTGAGAGAGAATGAGAGAGAAGGGATTGTGGCATGGTCGTTTCCCCTGGGGGGTGCTTTCTCAGTTTCTCTCTCTGTCTCTCTCCAGTGACTGTATGTACCCTATGGGAAAAGGTTTAAAAGAAAAATTCCAATGACTATATTAGCTCTTTTTCTCTCTTTGTCAACTCTTTTGCTTTTGACCTTACCCTCACACATGCAGCATGCATATTCATTCCTTACACATAACAGGTGTTTCTCATTTTTAAAAAACAATCTAATTGGTTTGCTTTGTTAAAGGGCATGTGCACTTGCTGGAGAGAAACAGCGAGAGAAAGGGAGAAAGCACCTGGTTGGGGGGTAGGGGAGTGGGAGGGTGATGGCCACACTGCAATCCACTGCAATCCCTTCTCCTCTTGGGATTTTGGGCATACATACACATGCCCTGGCATGATTTTCAAGATTCTAGGACTGGAACTCAAACCCTGCAGTTGGCCCTGTGGGACCTAACCACTTTATCTGCCTCACCACCTGGCTGGCCTTCTTTCTCATGCGAATGTGGTTATGTAACTAAACATTTGCTAAGGTGAGTGACTGCCTCTCTCCTAAGACTAGGCTGTGGAACGGGCCCACAGTGGCACCTTCTGCAGAGTGAGTGGATGCAGGACCACAGTGTACTTACAGCACTGCTTATGTGGGCTCAGTCACCACCAAAGAGAAGTGTTTTTAGAGCCCCCCAAGTCCCTACTCTAATGCTCGTAATTCCTACCTTCTGACATGTTCTAAGGGAAGGTTCCATTTACAAAGACAATATTAAATAATCTCTGATTACATCATGCCTCTGGCATCATCTCTGATGCTATCTTTTGAGAATTTCCTATATATTTTTGCAATTTGATTTTTTTTTCTTTTAGCAGAACATGTGTAGCTATGTGCTTCCTCTTCTTTTTCTCTTTATCATGACAGAGTGCATGCATGCGTACGTGAGAGCAAAAGGGAGAGAAAGAAAGAGACGAGTCCCCTCCCCAGGGTCTGGTCATGGCATGCTCTCCTTCCTCCAGCCCATCAGATCCTGGGTACTCATGTGTGCATTGTGTGTTTCAGCCTGACTGAGTCAGGGATATGAGACCAGGCTTCTTTCAAGCAGCGCATTATCACTGCTCCAGGGAGCTGCCCCCAGTTTCTTTCTCATCTTAAATGAACACACAGTCTGCTGGTTTCCATTCAATGAGCTAAAGATTTAGAATCATCTGGAAAGGTTTTTTTCTTTTATTTATTCTTTTTAAATTTCTTTCTTTCATGAGAGATGGAGATGGGGTCAGGGAAAGAAAGACAAGCCCTCTCCACAAGGTCTCGTGTCATGATCCTCCCTCCAGCCTTCCCAGCCAGCCAGGATCACAGGCTGGTGCATACAGGCTGAGGGGGGAATCACAGGCTGGAGCATACAGGCGGGGGGCGGGGGATCACAGGCTGGCGCATACAGGCTGAGGGGGGAATCACAGGCTGGAGCATACAGGCGGGGGGCGGGGGATCACAGGCTGGCGCATACAGGCTGAGGGGGGAATCACAGGCTGGAGCATACAGGCGGGGGGCGGGGGATCACAGGCTGGCGCATACAGGCTGAGGGGGGAATCACAGGCTGGAGCATACAGGCGGGGGGCGGGGGATCACAGGCTGGCGCATACAGGCTGAGGGGGGAATCACAGGCTGGAGCATACAGGCGGGGGGCGGGGGATCACAGGCTGGCGCATACAGGCTGAGGGGGGAATCACAGGCTGGAGCATACAGGCGGGGGGCGGGGGATCACAGGCTGGCGCATACAGGCTGAGGGGGGAATCACAGGCTGGAGCATACAGGCGGGGGGCGGGGGATCACAGGCTGGCGCATACAGGCTGAGGGGGGAATCACAGGCTGGAGCATACAGGCGGGGGGCGGGGGATCACAGGCTGGCGCATACAGGCTGAGGGGGGAATCACAGGCTGGAGCATACAGGCGGGGGGCGGGGGATCACAGGCTGGCGCATACAGGCTGGGGGGGAAACTGAACTCCAATCTTCCATAAGCAGCTCCAGAGCACTGCACTATGCCAACAAATGTGGCTGAGCCTGAAAAGTTTATTTCTATGCTTTTTTTTTTCTCCCAAAATGTTGATTCCTGTGCTTTTTCTCTGGCCATTTAAATCAGAATTGTTAGGATGATCTCTGTAATACGGTGGTCTTGGTCATGGGCTGTGAAAGAATTCCCAAACTCAGAGAGAAGGTAGATAGAAAAGAATTTATTCACTTTCCAAGAGAGGGAAGGGGCCAGATATGGAGAGCTCCATCAGCCCTAAAGGGTGGGTCCAGGAGCTTTTCTTGGGACTTTAAGAAAGGGGGGCTATGTTTGGGTAACTAAGGTCATTCTTGGACAGGAGGCCTATGGATCTTTTAGAATCCCTGGACTACTTTGTCAACATCTCTGGCTGTCAGAGCTGACCACTTTGATCTGCCGTGTATTTGGAGGTTTGTTGATGTTTTAGTGTCAGCAAGAGACTGGTGTTAATCTCCATATCTATAGGTAAAAACTTAGAAAAACAGGGACGAGCAGATGGCATAATGGCTACGTCACTGGACTCCCACGTAGTCGACTACAGTTCTAGTCCTGGACCCAGCAGCTTAAAACACACCCGGTGTGTGTGTGAGTAATTGCAAGAGGTGAATGGAGGAGAAGGAATTGTAGCTTGGTCATCCCCTCAGAAGGGGTGATTGTTTGCCTTCTGTCTTCTGTCTCTCCATGTGTCTCTGGCAAGCACATGTGCCCTATAGCAAAAATCTCTCTGAATAAAAAAGAAAAGAAAAGCAAAAGTTAGCTATCTGTGGTGGGATTAGGAAGAGGTCAGCTAGCCTGTGAAGAAAAAAGAAGGAAAAAGGAATATCTGAAGCAATTGAGAGGTTTTATATTTTTGGAGAGGTTTCTTTTGCTATAGGGTGCATGGGCTCTCCAGAAAGTCAGAGAGAGACAGAGAGACAGAAAGCGAAGGGATGGCCATCCTGCAATCCCTTCTCCTCCATTCTGTTCTCGGGATCTTGGGCACGCACACACACATGCCCAGTGTGAGTTTAAGCCACCGGGTCCAGGACTCGACCCATAGTCAACTATATGGGAGTCCAGCGACATAGCCATTACGCTAACTGCTGGTCCCAGCAATTGAGAGTTTTAACAAGTCTTCCCCAACAGGAGATCCTGAGACATTGAGTTAACCCTTTCCAATGTCTTAAGATTCTTGGGTGACTTTTAACCCTTTTAAGAATCCCCAATGATAGATGTTGGCATTAGCAGACTGTGAAAACTCCTGAGTGGATTTTAATTCATTACCATGATTGAGAACCAAAGATAATAATGATTTCCAACTTTGCCTCAATTGTATCAGAGCCAGCACTTAATTTGATGAAAAAAAAAATTACAATATACTAAATAATTACATAAGCAGTCTTTACACGTAGCAACACTGCTGAAACTGAACTGTTGACTTGCACAATAATTATCTAAAATATTCGTCTCTCAACTGATGACTGAAAATTTAAATTTAATATATAAAAGGTTCGAACCTCTCTCAAAGTCTCCCAACTCAGGGTAAAAGCCCAGGTTCTGACAGGATCTCCATGCCCTGCTCCTTACATCTCCGATGTCATCGGCTTCTCTCTGCTTTGCTCCTCTCTCAAGTTGGCCAGGGGTGCTCCTACCTTGTGGCCTTTATACTAACCATTCCTTCTTTCTAGAATGCTCTGCCCTAGATGCTCAACAAAGGCATCTTCTCTTCCTGCCCTCATCTCTCTCTCATGGAGAAAGAAAGAAATGCAAACAAACAAAAGAATAGAAGCAAACTTTCCAGATGAGTTTAATGTGCCCCCAGGTTTGACCAACTCTGCATAGGATGTTTTAAAGGCAAGTCTCTAACTCATTGAAGTAAGGCTACAGCCCTATGTGCTTCCAGTTTTCTCCTTGACTGACACCTCTGCAATGAGAGCTCACCTAATCATGGATTTATAACTTGAAATTCACTCCTTCTATGCACTCTTGGTAATCCTGATCCTGTATGGTCCTACTTTATTTTTTTCCCACATCATTTCTTGGCTTCTAACTCAATTAGCATGTTTATTGCACATCTCCTACCATTAGAAGCCATGTTCCTCAAAGGCGAGGATTTTCATTCCACAAGGATCTTTGTCTACTTCCTTAATATGTCCTAGCTATCTGGAAAAGCAAATGGTACATAGAGGTCACTTTTTTTTTTTTTTCTTTTTGGCTATAGTGTGTGTGGGCGGGATCTTGGGCATGCATGCACATGTACCTGGCATGAGTTTAAGCTATCAGGTTTGGGGCTTGAACCGTGGTTGACTACGTGGGAGTCCAGTGACATAGCCATTATGCCAACTGTTGGTCCCAGTGGCCACTTACTAAGTGAATGAATGAAATGTGTGTCCAGGATCCTAACATTCAAGTCCTGCTCAATCTCCCCAGACAGGACCCATGGCCTACCCTGTACTTTGTTTCAAGATCCTAGTCTTCTGCCTTCCTGCCTGTTGTCTAAGCTGTAGGGACAGATGAGAGACAAATCCTAACTCACAGCCACTCTAATTCTGTTTTGCTATTCCATGGCTGATGCACGAATTAAAAAGTAAGTAAATAAAAGGAGAGTCTACAACTTTTCAAGATATTTCATGATGTCCCAGTAACTTGATTATTGTCAGTTTTGTTTTAGTTTTTTGCCATAGGCTGTGAAAGCTCACAGGAGACAGCGACATTGAGAGGGAAAGTGAGTAATCCCCTCCTTCCCCAGGGATGGCCATGCTGCAATCCTTTCTCCTCCGTTCTCCTGCTGAGATTCTAGGCACGCGCACACGTACACTTGGTGTGATTTTTCAAGCCTCCAGGTTTGACTCGAGCTGTGATTGACCATGTGAGAATACATCCCCTTAACCACCACACCACCTGCTGGTCCTGATTATTGCTAGTTTTATATCTTGGATCTGATTCTTTGAGGTAGACAGAAGCTTTCTTCTAACAGGAATTTTTAAACTACCAATCAGGGGAGTAGGGCTAATGACTGGATATTGTCTGTGCTTCTTATTTATAGCTCCCAAGTCAGCATTATTCACTGGTCAAAACTTATAGCAAAGATTTACTTCTTAACCTGCTTTTAACGTAAATTAAAGACATTGTGAAAACAGATCAATCTAAGCGTTTATCCTAATTTCCTATCACTTGCCTCATCTGCTTCTGACTCATTTATCTCAGGAGAGTTGCTCCACAGAAACCCCTGGTTCAAAGCAGCAACATCTGTCCTCTCCTGAAAACAAAGTCTGGGGTGAATGGTTGGCCTTGTTCATTTTTTTCCTTTTCCGCGAGAGTTGATCTTAATATAATACTGTTAGAAACTCTAATTGGACCTTACTGGGGTTTTCCAATGTCAATATGTGGTTTTAGGAGGAAAATGCTGTCATACAAACTCATCTTTAGCAACATGAGTAATGGACGGGAAAATTGCTTGGTCTGGCTTTGAGTGCTGTCCACTTTTGCTCCCCAACGGTTGGCACATTATAGACTAACCTTTTAGTGAAATTACAAAGCTTTCATGTTGCCCTCTCTTACGTGTCTGAGGGTGGCTGGAAAGAGAAGGAAATGATGTGCAGCCACAAAGCATTGACTTTTTCATTTTTTTGGTGGTGCAGCTTTTTCCTTCTTTTATATAATTGTATTTGCTCTTATCTTTCATCTTCCACCTAATTTGTTGGAAGTGGCCATTCAGGGCATGATAAGAAAGGGTGAAGAGGAAGAAAACACTCTTCTTATTAAAGCAATGAAAATGGAGATGAAACATGCAGGTGAGCTAGCATTTTACAATGCCCCTGGAAGGTTCTGGTTCCCGAGTAATGCAGAACAGCTGAGGGGGCAGGAGTCACATAGACAGAGGCCTCACCTCGTGCCTCTCAAACTCTGGCATGCAAGTGAGCAACGAGTGCCTTCAGCTGGTGCCTCGGCATGTGAGGGAAGGAGGAATTGACTCTTTAAATTGCCAGGCGAACCTGAAATTTGTCAATTTCTGTGTGCAGATGGTAGGGGAGCCTTCTCTATGAGAGGTTGTAATTGGGACCAACTCTTCCTGCTCAATGAGTGGCATTGAAAGTCTTCCAATTGTGAGGAATTATGAAAAAATGGATGAGTCTGGGTTTCAGAGTTTTCTCATTTCCCCTTTTAGAGCACCAGCCTCCCCAACGGGGCTGCTTTATTTATGTCAGTTGGAACTGGACCCTACTCTAAAATGAGATCCTCACCTACTCATGTCTCTCCTTAGGGCACTTGCAATGACTGAAATCAGTTTTCAAGCCCAGTCTGTCAGATATTACCATGCAACAGACTGAGGGATGTGGTTTAGAGTCTTTCTGTCACTGCAGTTGGACTGTGGTCACCTCTCCGTCCTACCACTGGAGCATAACAAAGAACCAAGGGAGTCTGTTACCTGACAAAGTTTCTCATACTTTTTTAAGCTGGTTGCTCCTTCTGCTTCCATCTGCTATACCAGTGTCTGATCCCTGGGCTCTGACACCCCACAATGATAGATTCGGGGGACAATAGCAGATACGACCATTACAAAAGTTGTTAAGTTAGAGTGATACGAAATTTGCATACCTGGATGGTGTAGAACTTCACGTGGTTGACTACGTGGGAGTCCAGTGACATAGCCATTATGCCAACTGTTGGTCCCAGTGGCCACTTACTAAGTGAATGAATGAAATGTGTGTCCAGGATCCTAACATTCAAGTCCTGCTCAATCTCCCCAGACAGGACCCATGGCCTACCCTGTACTTTGTTTCAAGATCCTAGTCTTCTGCCTTCCTGCCTGTTGTCTAAGCTGTAGGGACAGATGAGAGACAAATCCTAACTCACAGCCACTCTAATTCTGTTTTGCTATTCCATGGCTGATGCACGAATTAAAAAGTAAGTAAATAAAAGGAGAGTCTACAACTTTTCAAGATATTTCATGATGTCCCAGTAACTTGATTATTGTCAGTTTTGTTTTAGTTTTTTGCCATAGGCTGTGAAAGCTCACAGGAGACAGCGACATTGAGAGGGAAAGTGAGTAATCCCCTCCTTCCCCAGGGATGGCCATGCTGCAATCCTTTCTCCTCCGTTCTCCTGCTGAGATTCTAGGCACGCGCACACGTACACTTGGTGTGATTTTTCAAGCCTCCAGGTTTGACTCGAGCTGTGATTGACCATGTGAGAATACATCCCCTTAACCACCACACCACCTGCTGGTCCTGATTATTGCTAGTTTTATATCTTGGATCTGATTCTTTGAGGTAGACAGGAGCTTTCTTCTAACAGGAATTTTTAAACTACCAATCAGGGGAGTAGGGCTAATGACTGGATATTGTCTGTGCTTCTTATTTATAGCTCCCAAGTCAGCATTATTCACTGGTCAAAACTTATAGCAAAGATTTACTTCTTAACCTGCTTTTAACGTAAATTAAAGACATTGTGAAAACAGATCAATCTAAGCGTTTATCCTAATTTCCTATCACTTGCCTCATCTGCTTCTGACTCATTTATCTCAGGAGAGTTGCTCCACAGAAACCCCTGGTTCAAAGCAGCAACATCTGTCCTCTCCTGAAAACAAAGTCTGGGGTGAATGGTTGGCCTTGTTCATTTTTTTCCTTTTCCGCGAGAGTTGATCTTAATATAATACTGTTAGAAACTCTAATTGGACCTTACTGGGGTTTTCCAATGTCAATATGTGGTTTTAGGAGGAAAATGCTGTCATACAAACTCATCTTTAGCAACATGAGTAATGGACGGGAAAATTGCTTGGTCTGGCTTTGAGTGCTGTCCACTTTTGCTCCCCAACGGTTGGCACATTATAGACTAACCTTTTAGTGAAATTACAAAGCTTTCATGTTGCCCTCTCTTACGTGTCTGAGGGTGGCTGGAAAGAGAAGGAAATGATGTGCAGCCACAAAGCATTGACTTTTTCATTTTTTTGGTGGTGCAGCTTTTTCCTTCTTTTATATAATTGTATTTGCTCTTATCTTTCATCTTCCACCTAATTTGTTGGAAGTGGCCATTCAGGGCATGATAAGAAAGGGTGAAGAGGAAGAAAACACTCTTCTTATTAAAGCAATGAAAATGGAGATGAAACATGCAGGTGAGCTAGCATTTTACAATGCCCCTGGAAGGTTCTGGTTCCCGAGTAATGCAGAACAGCTGAGGGGGCAGGAGTCACATAGACAGAGGCCTCACCTCGTGCCTCTCAAACTCTGGCATGCAAGTGAGCAACGAGTGCCTTCAGCTGGTGCCTCGGCATGTGAGGGAAGGAGGAATTGACTCTTTAAATTGCCAGGCGAACCTGAAATTTGTCAATTTCTGTGTGCAGATGGTAGGGGAGCCTTCTCTATGAGAGGTTGTAATTGGGACCAACTCTTCCTGCTCAATGAGTGGCATTGAAAGTCTTCCAATTGTGAGGAATTATGAAAAAATGGATGAGTCTGGGTTTCAGAGTTTTCTCATTTCCCCTTTTAGAGCACCAGCCTCCCCAACGGGGCTGCTTTATTTATGTCAGTTGGAACTGGACCCTACTCTAAAATGAGATCCTCACCTACTCATGTCTCTCCTTAGGGCACTTGCAATGACTGAAATCAGTTTTCAAGCCCAGTCTGTCAGATATTACCATGCAACAGACTGAGGGATGTGGTTTAGAGTCTTTCTGTCACTGCAGTTGGACTGTGGTCACCTCTCCGTCCTACCACTGGAGCATAACAAAGAACCAAGGGAGTCTGTTACCTGACAAAGTTTCTCATACTTTTTTAAGCTGGTTGCTCCTTCTGCTTCCATCTGCTATACCAGTGTCTGATCCCTGGGCTCTGACACCCCACAATGATAGATTCGGGGGACAATAGCAGATACGACCATTACAAAAGTTGTTAAGTTAGAGTGATACGAAATTTGCATACCTGGATGGTGTAGAACTTCAGGATAGGAAGCTTTCTGGAGCTATGATCTCTCTGGAGAATGAGTCAAACAGAAAAAAAAAAAGTGCTTATGTCATATCATGTTTTGCATAGGACAGAAACTATAAAGGGCCCATTGATTTTATTGATTCAGAGGTGAGAAAATGAGGCTGGCAAGTTGAATTAACTTTTAGCCACCCAGATGGTAAGTACTGGAATCAGATGAGAGCCCAGATCCCTGAAGCCTTGGTTCTCTTTTTCTTTCCAGTTCATCATGAGAAGCCTTTAGAGAATCAATTTCATTATCGTGACTGGGGAGGCCCTCAGATGAGCCTGAGTTGTGCTCACTGCTGAGAATCAGACACGGCAATGTCCTGAGGCCTAGTGGCAGCGGCCCGCCAAGAATTTCCTTGTGCAAAGAACTATGTATTTTGCAAAGTAACTCATCCAAAGGAGGATAAATAAAGGCTCTAAGAATGCTTTATGCTCTAAGGAAGAAAGGTGATTTTTCTCAGTCAATGACTAGCTTTCAACTTAATCCCTATTGATTTATTCTTGAGACTAAAGGAAAGAACTGCATTCTCACTAGAATTTACTTAAGAGCAAAAATCAGGAACACCTTCACCCAGAGCATCAGGGCATATTGGCCTGGTACGAGCCAAGGACCTTGGGGAAGAGGCAGCACTATCTGTTCTCTGAATCTTAGTCTCTATGTCTGCAGAGCTGTGCAGTGTACAACCTGTGCAGCTGGATACAGACTGAGAGACAGACTAGATAGCACTGCCTCTTCCCCAAGGTCCTGAAATCAACCTCCTCGTGTGGATATTCTATTCTACTCACTGGTCAACTAGGAGACAGGGATGAAGAGGAAAGGATCAAATTCGATTTTGTCATTAATCACTGAAAAACCATAGGTAAGTTATTTTAATTTTCTCGATCTTAGTTTCCTCATCTGTAGAACAGATAGGTTAGTAATGAACTCTCTTGGGTTAGATTGGTTGCATCCCTCATGCCATTGGCCTTAGAGGAGGGGCAGCTGTGTCCATGGAACCAGTCTTTTGGGCTGTATGTGACCTATTTGAGAACTTTTCTGTGCACCTTATGGATCATTTCTCAGGAGGAAATGCCCTGAGATGGGCACCCTTTGGCACCCGAGCCAGAGTTGCTAGAAGAATGGCTTAGCCACTGCATGGCACATAATGACTGCAGTTGGAGTCCCAGACCTGGGGATTTGCTTTCTCACTTTCCCTTTCTTTCTCTCTCTGATCAAATTAAAAAATAATAGTAGTAAATAATAGTAAATAAATAATTCTTTTTTTAAAAAAAGATGAGAATCCCTTCATACATTCCACAGAAAGATTTTTTTGGCTGCCATTTAACATGTTCTAGAGCATCAGATGATAGAAATCTTCAAAACGCTTTTTTTAAATTAAGCCAGAATGGCATAATATGAAATCAGAGAAAAGAATGCAAAAAGAAAAACTAAACACATTTCACCGATGAATAAATATCAATGGGAAAAGTTTAAACAAAATAACGTTAAATAGCATTTGTCAATAAACAGAAAGAAGAGACACCCTAGGACAAGTAGAGTTTAGAATAAGGATTGAGCCCTGACTCTACCCAGATTACCTGTGTGCATGCTGGCCTGTCATTTAATAGCAGGGAGTGTTGTGGTTAAGGTGCTAGATCCCACCTGGCCATATGGTGATTTGAGTCTCTGACTGGTAGCCTGAAAATCACACCAGGCACATGTGTTTCTCCTCAGAGGAGAAAGGAGGAGAAGGGATTTTGGGGTGGCCATTTCACCTGGGAGGTGATTTCTCACTTTCCATCTTCCTGTCTTTTTCTCCAGTGAGCCCATGTACCCTATGTAAAACAAAAACAAACACAAACAAACAAAAACCACTACATGTATGATTTTGGACAAGTTACTTAACTTTTCTGTTTCTCTACTTCTGTATCTGAAAAGTGGGTGTAATTATGACACCTACCTAGCTGAGTTGTGGATAGAATTAGTTAATATATATGAAGTGCCTAGGTGCGTAGCAAGTTAGCGTTTACTTTTGTTCCTATTTTTCAAGGAATTCAAGATCGGAAGCAGAGGTCTAACTTTTTATTCAACAAATGAGTATTTGTTCCAGCACAATTAATTATGTAATGTTTTGTTTTCTGACTTAGTTGTAATGATGAACTTTACCATATTCTAAATAGCGGAAGCCTTGGGCTTTCTATTCTGTCTCACTTATTCAGAAGTCTATTCTTGAACCACTATCATGTTGTTTAAATTATATTTTAAAAATAAGTTTTAATAATTTATATAATTGCTCCCTCACTATTATTTCCTCTAAATGATTTGGGTGATTTGGCCTTATCACTTTTTCTATTAAATTAAAAACAAAATCTATAAAATAATTTTATTTTTAAATATCACTGTAAAATGCTTAAATAAAATGATAGCAAATATCTATTCGATGTTATTATAATTTATTTAAACTTAAAAATTATTTAATGGCATTTGATATCTTTACTATATTCCAGGAAAATGATACACTTTCTAACTGCTCAATGCAGTCTTTTAATTATCTCAGTATTTAAAAAAAAAATCTTATACTGACTTTTACTTTTATTGATAAATTGATATTTTTGTTTGCTTTATTATTATAATGGATTGATGCTGTTTCCATTTTCTATATTCTATTTTTTTTTTGAGAGGTTTTTGAGAGGTTTTTGCTATAGGGCGCGTGCGCTCACCAGAAAGACAGAGAGAGACAGGGGAGACAGAAAGTGCGAAATCACCCCCCAAGGGGGATGGCCATGCCGCAATCCCTTCTCCTCCATTCTCCTCTTGGGATCTTGGGCACACACACACATGCGCCAGGCGTGAGTTTAAGCCACCGGGTCCGAGACTTCAACTGCGGTCAACTACACGGGAGTTCAGCGACATAGCCATTACACTAACCACTGGTCTCTCCAAATTCTTTTTTAAAAAGAATTATTTATTTAAATTTATTTATCATTATCCTTATTATTTTTGAATTTGATACAAGCACTCACCAGCAAGAAACAAAGATAGAGAGAGAGAGAGAGAGTGAGTGAGATAGCAAGCTGCCAGGTCCAGGACTCAAACCACGGTTGGCCATGTGGAAATCCAGCACACCAATTACCACACCACCTGTTGGTCCCATTTTCTATATCTTAACTGGCTATCATGCATATAAAGAAAAACTGTTCATCGATATTATATGTTTATTTTTCAGATATATAGCTCTCTCTCTTTTCAGCTTCAGCATGTTTGTTTCCCTTGACTTTATTTTCTGAGCTTTTCTAGATAATCATATCATTTACAAAAAATGAAAATTTGATATCTGAATTCCAGCTCTTGTCATTCTTGACTAGCCAATGCTAGAATCTCCAGAACAATCTTTAATCATGGAAATTCTACCAGACATCTGTCCTCCCTGACTTTAATGGTTATATGTCTGTGTGGTTTCACCATCAAAGATATTATCTTTGCATTGATATGTGTTTGGTAAGCTATTTGACAAAAGTGTTCTTCCAAATTTGATTTAATTAAACAATTTAAAAATCAAGCACAGATGCAACATTTCCATTTTCTGATAATTTTCTCCTTTTTCTATTTATGAAATGTGTTATATTCTCTTACGTTAAAATAATCTCGGATTCTAAGAATGTCTGAGATTAAGCAATATGAATTAATGTTTAAGTTGGACATCTTTGCATCTATAATAATGTTTATGATTGAATTTTAAATATCTTTGTATTGGCTATATCAGATTTATCATTTCAGTGCTATGACAGTATCAGGAATTAATTTAAATCTCTCTCTCTTGCCATCCTCTGGATCATTCTGTATGATAAAATGCTTACTTATTCTCAAAAACATTTTAAAAATGGACTTGTAAAGTTACAGGGAGCCAGAGACTCTGTGGAGATAATTTTTGGACAGTATTTTGAATGTCCTCCCTTAGCATTGGTCTATAAAAGATAACTATTTCTGGAATTACATTGGCAATTTTTATATTTTTAGAATTTTTAACACTAATAGTTGAGTTAAACACTGACATTTAGTTTAGTTGAGTTACAATGTTTTATCATTTTAATTACCATTTTATCTGGTATGATATTATTTTGGTTTCACACTTGCCATATTTATATTCTCCCTTTCCGTAATGTTATTGATACATCAATCACATCCCCTCAAATAAAAACAAGTGAAACTTTTTGTTTAAATGCCAGAGGGCACATGCTTGCAGCAGCAAGGGGAAGACAGAAAACACTCCTAAATAGGGCCTGTTATTCTGCAATCTTTTCTCTTCCTTTTCTTCATCCTGTCAGGATCTTGGACATGTACACACACACACACACCTGGTGTGTTTATCAAGTCATTGGGCCAGGATTTGGACTGTGGTCAGTCATGTGGGATCCAGCTTCCTCTGCACAAAGCTTAACCACTGTTCTATGGGCTGGCTACCAACCTCCAAAAACTTTTATTTACAAGTTCCTACTATGTTTTTCTATTTAAAAAATCTCTGCTTTTATCTCAATTTTTAAAGTTTTCTTTCTTATATGTTCATGGCTTTTTAAAAGCTTTTTTTTTATTTAAATGATTCACTTAGTTTTTAATTAACTCTAGTAGTGTCACACATTTAGCGTTAACAATTTGTCTCTGAGTACAGTTTTAGCCTCATGATATGGGCTTGATCTGTAGTGTTCTTATTGTCAGCTACATTTAGATTGTTTTTGGCCCTTGAGTTATATAGGCAAGTATTGTTTCGTTTTACCCAAGTGGTCATACTATATAAAAAACTATTACTGGAAAATTACATAGAGTTGAATCAGGGTAGTCATTTTCTGTATTTGTAAGCTGGTGAGCGAATGGAGAAAACAGTTCTACAGAGAGATTTAAGAAATGGGATTAAGAATCTACATTTGGGAACCAGCAGTTAGCGTAATGGCTATGTCGCTGGACTCCCACGTAGTCGACCACGGTTCGTGTCCCGGACCCGGTGGCTTAAAACTCACGTTGGGCGCATGTGCGTGCATGCGTGCCCAAGATCCCGAGAGGAGAATGGAGGAGAAGGGATTGCGGCGTGACCATCCCCCCTGGGGGGTGATTTCTCGCTTTCT